GAGTACCCGCGTACACCGATCATCGACGCGTGATAAATAAAAGTGAATAAATATTACTACGGTTTTAGATTCTATAATACACGAGCGAAGCTGCAAAATGAAACTTTGTGTATGCGTGACGTTAGTGTTAAGAACACGCCTATTGAAGGTTCAAACTTTCAACCTCCACCCCTAACGCTCAGACTTGACCATTTTTGTTTCCAAAGTAGTACCTAGAGTTTTTATATACCAAGTATAGTATTATACATTTACGAGTATAATAATAAGTAACTAACTGAATAATATATGACTAGTGTAATATATCGATATTACATTTATCGAATAACGAAGCATATTTCTATGGTGCAAAAAAGCTTCGACACTGGCGACTGATCTCTGCTGTTCAACAAAGTGTTTATTTTAAAACAATTAATTTCGCGTACCTATAATCGACATTTTCTCGATGACGTACTTATACCGGCGGGTATATATATAGCTATATCGATTTTTTTTTTAAAAATATAAATTCAACTTACAAGTTGGGTAGGAAATATCATATTATAGACAAAAAAAAAAAAAAAAAAAAAAAAAAAAAAAATGCAAACAGTTATATATACACGCTATCGTCGTCGAAGATGGCCGGTTGGTATATGTATTTACACGTAGGTAATACGATATTACGATGAGTGTGTATCGTCCATACGCACGTTATGTAATATTATTTGTTCGTGTACAGTGCGTACATAATATTTTTTATTTTTTATTATTATTATTGAGTTACCGGAGTTTTGTTTATTATAAAACTTCCAAGCCGGATAGTTAAATAACAAAAAAAAAGAAAAAAAAGAAAAAGTTCTGTAAATATAAATAATATACTAGAGACGCGAAGTTCGCGGGACTTTTGATGCGCATTTTTTAATAAAACAAAATTCATAATAATTCAACAGAAACAAGCGCGGACTGCGCGTGTAATATTATTATTATTATTTTTTAAAAAAAATGTTTTATCACAGATCCGTCATCAGACCCGCGATATCATCGGTATAATATTATTCGAAAAATAATTATTAATCTCAAACGCGGCGAAGAAGAATATAATATATACACGAATTTGGTATATTTATTTGTAACTGCGAATTATATTTTGAAATCGAAAAATGTACTGTATTTATTTATTTTTAATCATATTATTTTGATCTTGGATGTAATAATGAAATATATGAAGGTTTTTTTTCAAACTTTTTATTATAAGCTTTGACGAACGGGACGTATATCTCGGACATGAAAGAAAATATAATTGGATAGTATTATTTTTTTTATATAATAAAAAAGAAAAAAGCGGTCGTATTACGATTATTATTATTTTAATGATACGTGTTCTAGAGTAAAGAAAAACAAAATAGAATTTTCTATAATGTTATTTATTTAATCCTGAACACAAAACGGGACTCCGTAACAGTACGGTTTTAGGCTCAAAAATATGTTCTACGGAAAGAACTCTTATGATGCCTCGTACCGAATAGTCCCATTTTTATGGTGTTTTTTTGTGAGACTGCGCAAAACTAATAATATAATGTAATGCATATAATATCGTGCAATATAAAGTCAATTTCAAGGGGTTTTTTTTAATCAAATTTATTATAACTATATAAAATCGTTATTTGAAATCAAACAAAAAATTGGAAATATCGGCCGGTAGACTGTTATTGTTTATCGATTAAAAAATAAATTGTAAAACAAACTTGACAATTCTCACGAAAAATTGTAATGTTCGTGCGTAATAACGGCCGTACACCTTTTGCTTATTAATGGACACCGGGCAGTAGATTAGTGGAAAAGTCTTATAGTTGAAATGTAAAAAATAATTTAAAAATTTAAAAAAAAAAATGTTGATAGCTCGTAAAACCGGTACCGGCACCTCTTAATAAAAAAATGAACACTTATTTTATCTTCGTTATCAGTAATCGTTTTTATTTTGACGGTGTACTTCCAAAATGATAGGGGAAAAAAATTAAAATATATTATCTAGTAATTGTTACGTTTTAGATTTGATTGTTTTGAGAGATATCTTGAAAATATACCCTCATGTAAATTGTATGCGTTATTGCTAGGTGGCCAAGGTGCCTATCGATACTTTATTAGCCGCGGAATTCAGGCTAAAATATATTTTTATTAAAATTTGATGTCACTACCTATATATTATTTACTAGTTTTATTACCCAGCTTTACCTAGCTTTGACCAACCGTTTTTTTCGTTCAGATCGCTAATATTCATAGGTGGACATTAGACTTATAGTTAGTTTGAAGGCAGCTCGCAGCTCTGTTTTACTTTCATACACAAAAATTATGTATGTACATGTATTATATAGTTATGCTATTTGTTAAGAAAAAACCGCTTTATAAATAAATGAGTATTTTTTAAATTTTTTTCTTAACAATTATTGTCCTTGTACTTAGTGGAAGCTCGGTGGTGGGTCCCGTAAAATGTTTCGGTATAAGAATTGAAATGGCGCCCCCGGATAATCGCCGGATTATATTTGTAACAAATAAATCACTCTGTATATAATAAAATGTTTTATAATCGTTTGATTGGGGATCTAAAACAAACTCCATGTACGTATATAATACAGGTACCTACGTATATTACATTCTGCAATTTCGGCGGTTTTGTTCGCGTAAGGCGAACCGACTAAAAATAATACGAAATTGCGGACAGCTCGCCGTGTTGAAATTGGGTTTTCTATTTTTCGAGGCGTGAAAACACTATAAAACACTCGCGTTAACAATTGAAACTGGCGTTTACGGGTAGGTAGATACCTAACCATTACTATTACTAAAATACCCGGTGGTGGTGTGGTGTATTCGTTCGAGTTTTAATATAAAACGATGATGGAAATTCACTGGATTTTCTGCGCTGGGTTTTCATTCAGACAAAGCGGAATTTAATATTCTGCCCCGCTGCCGCTCACTCTCTTTCTCTGCCCCTCTATCTCTCTCTCATTCTTTCTTTCTCTCTTCCGCACGTTTTCTCTAAAAAAATTCGTAGTTAATCTCCCGGGAAAAAGAAAAAAAACCGTTTCGGTTGATGTATTTAAGAGGGTGAAAAAATACCTTTCCTATATATACTGTGCTATGCGGGGCGGGTTTCGGTTAGGAATTCTTCACAAAGTCCGGTGTCCGTATAAGTCGTCGTCACTCTACAAAAGATATAAATAAGTATATTATAGGAAACAATCAATTTCGAAACGGTTTTCTGTTTGACATTTAGAAATGTTCGCGCTACAATTTCTTTGAAAATTATGTATACGAGTTATGTACATCACACTCTTTGAAAACTTTTTCACATTTCCCCCGTTTCCTTAAATTTCCACTATCGTACAAATATCTTCTCGAACTTTTCGAAAACGGCCAAAAGATATCAATCGTTTTCTTTTATTGTACGCAGTTAAACGTAATAATATTATTAAATACACTACTACTCAACTCTCACCGAACGAATTTGGACGAGTTTTTATTGTTCACTATATATAGCCATCTTGCCGGCGTTCCCCTTGTCAATTTAATTCTCTTCTTTTTTTTCTTGACTATTTAAAAACAGATCTGGACATAAAAAAAATCTAAAATCAATAATGAAAGAGATTCAGTTCAACGTATACCTGCATCTCAGTTTCCGCCCGCGTTTTAAAAACAGTAAACCGTTTTGTACCTAGTATACTTTTTCGCCCGTTTGACCAAAGTATATAACATAAAAATCAATGAAAATAATTAGATTTTCGTTCTAAAAGTACCGAAAACCCTATGTGAGTCATCCTTTAGTCTTTAAATTTCGAAAATCTGGCTTCGAAGTGCACGCGGCCCTGTTAGTAGTATGGAAATAGCGGTTCAACACTAAGAGCATGACAAGGGGATATCTGTTTGAAAAACTATTTTGACAAACCATACAAAAGACTTGTCGCAAACTCGTCGCATTTCTCTCTAAAGTGTAGAAAAATACTGAAACACGGTAGATCATTACGTTTCGAATGAATAGGGTTTCAAAATGATGTTACTATAAATAACGTTCGAATGGGAAGACATTTTTTTTTGGAAATGTATGTATCACAGTAAACACCAACAATGTAGGGGTCGTGTACATGCAGTTGGTGGAAACATTGTTAGAAAAATAAAGACGCTCGCGGCGAGCGCGTGAAAATTGTCCATCACGATGAAACAGTCGTCGTTTCGGAACATCTGTTTGCCGCCGCCGTAACCGAACCATCGAGTACCGCCGTCTTGGCTCCCGTCGTCGGGCCGTTGAATTCCGCTGCCGTAGCCGAATACCACCGCCGGCCAGTCGAACGTGCAATCAGAAAACGTATGGACTTAGATTTAATTTTTTTTTTTTTTACGGTATGCGGGAAACGCTTGCGTAACGAGAACGTCGTTACTGCCGCGAAGGCGAGGAAAGCAAGGATTTAGTGAACGCGCCAGGATTTTTCGAAATAGACTCGTCTTTCCCCGCAAAATCGTTCGGTACTACGCGAAAAATCTCTCGAACATACCCAATTGTAAAAAGTTTCTTTTTCCGATCAAACCCGCTTCTCAAATCGACCCTGTCAAATTCAATTTAAAATTATAGGCCGCGTAACGTATAATCATGCTTCTTCCAGGTTTTCCCAACTATCCGTGTACTCGTATGGACACACACCTTTTCTCATTACAAGCGGCATATCTTCGATGTAAATTACCTTTTTGAACTCTCGAAACTTCACGTATCCCGGGGTGTTTGGGTACGAAGTGAGAGACGATGACTTGATGCCATAAATCGAAACGAATCTAAAAATTACACGGAAAAAGTATTGCTAATGTATTTCGAAAAGGAAATGAATTTTTCCTCGCTTTTAGGTATTACGGAAATTGTTTCCAGTTCGAATAACTGGTTTTTAACGTTTTTTCTACTTCTAACTTCAAAGTCAGCTTTTCTGTGTTTTTGTGCGAAATATTTACGTTTTATATTTTCTTTTGCTTTGATAAGCCCACAGGGATGTCTACGAGTAAGTTTCTAATTGTCGAATTGGTTCCCGGGTTGTCAGTCCGGAGAAATTATATTTATTCTCATGCTCTCTATATTTCTCGTCTCGTTCTCTGTGTGCGCCCGTGACATCATTCGCTAATATTGCCTACTTGAAGTATTCTTCGTCCATATTCTGTGGATTGATGATGACCCGTTTGTTCTGTATGTCAGTAAGTAGACGTATATACGACGGTCAGGCAGTGGTATTTGATGGTCCGGCGGATAGAAAAAATGTTCCTTTTATATGTCAGTGCATTTAGTAGAAACGATAGTATAATCCCCACTAACAGAATATGCGTCGAAAAAAATCGGTAGTTCTAAGTATCTATCTGGCCGGCGTGATTATAAGAAAGACTATGAGGTGAGTAGGATCAAGTCCTACATGCAGAAACTTGCGTGCTGAAAAATCTATGGTGAATGAAGAACACTCGGCGAGATTTGGAGGCGATGCCAGTGCGGCGTATTCAAACTTCTTCGTTGAGTTAAATATATTTAAAACATTTGTATACATTTTTCAAACACTTTATAAAAAATGTATAGTCAGAGAAATGATCTTTATCGTCGATCTTTTTCGGTCTCATATAAAATGAATGAGACCGAAGGTAAAAGAAAAACTCGTAGAGGTCTGTTAAAAAAAAATGGTCGTCATCATATTCCCGATAATCTTAAGGTTGTCTAAATGCATATTCGCGTAATACGAAACAAGTAAGCATGATATCGGTAAAAATGTAGTTGTATGATAACCATGATTAATATGATTACCATATAACCGTGATAAAATAAATGATAACAGGAGGTATAATCGAAAATAGAGGGTGGGGGGAAATTTAGGTCGTGTAAGTAGTCGATAATAATAATGTGGAAAAAATATTGAAAAAAAAAAGGGGTTGGGAGAAAATATATATCGATGAAGACGTGACAATTCGAGCGGCTTTATTGTAGGTATAGCACAGGATCATGTGTAGTCGAAAAAGAGGTTGGGGATACATGTGTTGATGAAGAGGTGGATAATTCGGGCGGCCATGTTAATGTATAGCGTCTAGTACGGCGGCAATGTAAATATATAGCTTCTTCTCATGCTCATGCTCCTGGTGTTGAACTGCTATTTTCATATTACTCCCGTTCATTAGCTTTTGTAAGTCAATTTCATCAGACCTCTGCGCCAGATAGTTTCGACTATAGGTCGCGCACAGACAGACAAACAAAAAAGCACTTTGTTTTATAAAGAAAGATTATAAAAATATTTTTTTTTCAATCAAACGATTCTTTTCGACTAAAAAAAAATAAAAAAAAAAAAAAAAAAAAAAAAATAGAATGAGTAAAATATTATAATATTATGTATTTATAAAAAAAAAAATATTTGTATTTTTAAAAAAAAAAATACGCTTATAAAAAGACGAACTATGCTGCCAACAATCTTAAATACGACTTACAAATACAATATACATTAAATATTTAAAATATTAAAATTTTTTTTCGAGAGAACAAATAATAGTGGAAGACTATAAAATATTTGCGTAAAAATATTTATGTCGAATTTGTATCCTGGCTTTTTTTTGTTGTATAAAGTAGTTTTGATGTTCATACATATCTCATGCAATGCAATTGTTTATTTGATTATTATTTAGTTAGTTTTAACTAGAGTAATAATAATAGTAATAATAATACTGTAGTGACGATAACTACGTGGAATAAAAGAATAAAATAAGAGAAAACAAAATATAATCCTTCTGATGGGTTTACTATTGTTGTAGGTGCAAAGTCTAAAGATAGGATACATAATGTTATTTAATTAAATCTGCATACTCAATTATAAATAACTTCTAACGAAAATTTTTACGGTTTTTGAAAAAAATTTGAATTTAAAACGCTTATGAAAAAAAATTACCAGTTAACGCTCAATTATTTTATTTTAGATTTGTTTTTAATGAACCGTGTATTCAATATTCTATATCTTTTGCCGTACCAAAATAGTAGTATCCATTAAACAAAACGGACCAATTGTAAATTGGCCTTATATAGGTCAGACTAGACAACATTTTCTACCCAAAACTACCCCTGGAGTTGGCGACAGGAACACGATTTCCGATAGAAAAGTAATTTACAGATAGAACAAAAATGAAAAAGGAACGCATAATATAGTACGTGTATAAAACAAATATTTTAATGTACGTCTACTCTCAGAATCGTAAACAATTCAGTTGAAATCTATTCCATTTTAGCTACCTATATTTACACATATTCCGATACGTTTTGCAATTCTCTGAATATCAGAACCGGTATGGTTTCGATTCCAAAAATAACTTGGCGTGAAAGATGAAAAACGACACGTGTATTGCGGAGGAGGTGTATAATAGCGTGTATTTGCTATCCCACGCAGGTCTAATTGTTAATTATAATAACCTAACTCTGTATAGTTTATGAGAAATAAAGGGACCCCCCATAGTTCAGGTCCATGTACAGATTCAATACCCAGAAAACGTTTTTTATCGAGCGTCTAAAGTCCATATCGTGTCCCGTATACAACCCAGTCCGCTAATAACTCTGAAAAACACTTTCGAACCCTTATTTTGCGGACTACTCTTCGTTTCCGCTTTAAAGTCAATCGATAAATATCTGGGAAAATGTCGATTTTAATCCTCGTATTTCTTCGGAAAGCTTTGGGAAATTTATCATCTTTGACGGTTGAAAAAAAAAACAAACCGAAATAAATGCTTGGTATTCGAAAGAAAAAAATATCACGCAAGATTCGAGGACCAGTTAACATAACCGGGGAGCTGAGGCGTAGAAAAAACCGAGAGTTATAGATGACGCGTGGAGAACGTAATATTTTAGAGATGATCGAAAAAGTAAAACCGCGATGAGCCAGACGTGATGCGTGAAAAATCTAAAATCCATTACTACGGGCAGTGCTAGGGGAAATACTTTTGGGAGGGCCGAGAATGAGACGGTAAGACGAGGTAAAAATGATGCGAGAGTCTTAGGAGACGGACAGAAGTGGACGATTTTGGGGATATACATAGAGGTGATAGCTGGAGAATCGGTTGTGATACGGGATGGTCCTACAGAGGCCGAACAAATCCAAATAATAACAATAATCGTTTTTCGTTTTCTAATTTTAATCCGACATAATTTAACACGTTCCAAGTTATTTCACCGTTTTATGCGACTATTATATAAAAACTACAATATGATTATCGTTCGAAAACGTCAATATTTATAAAAACGAGAATAACAATCTGTATAAATGTGCGTTTGCACGAATAATATTTAATAAAAAAAAAAAATCTTCGTCTAGTCGTCCGGGATTTTGCCGGGAAAGTGACGGCGAAAAATCCATTTCCCGTCTGGCTACCCGCTCTAAAAGCCGTAATATCGAAATATTATTATTACTGTAAATGTACGAGGGGGGAAATCTACGGAATAATATTTGACGTGACATTAATCTGTTTCGTTTAACGACCGCATCACGTGCAATTATATCGTTGAGTTGAAAACGATTTGTCGTAGGGGGTTCTTTTTTTTTTTTATAATGTCGGATCGAAAACATTTTTTTTTTTTTTAACCGTCTAGATTAGGTACATCTATACATATCTGCATTTTTATCTACTAATTATTTACGCACGCGAGTAATGTTTGTACGGCACAGTTTTTGTTTTATCGGTCTTCTTTTTTTTTTTTTTTTTTTTTTATCCTGCAGCAACAGAGATTTAATTAATCTCTTATACATGTATACCGAACAAAACTGCGCAGCGTGTATAGTTTTTCACGTCTAATTTGCGCACCATAGTATAATAATTATAAACACGCTAACTCCGATTTGTTACTCTTGACTTCGCGTTCATACAGTAGATATATATTTTATTTTATGTATACCCATATAGAGGTAATAATGTCGTACGTTCGCTCGTGTAATGTGTACACATTTTTTTTTTAAAACGCGTAACGTTTTTTTTTTTTTTTTTTTAACGACGATAAATACGAAAAAAAAGAATTCCAATTGCTTCTATTTTAGTTTTACGCGTCGATTACTTGCAAAGTATGAATTATCGACGACTATGAAATATTTAACGAGACGAAAATAGGAAAATGATAATTTAGTTAGGTACTCTAAATGTTAGTTGTATGTCATTTTATTTTCAGTTATCAATTTAACATCCAAACAATCGAAAACATATTATAATTTTTAATATCACGATAACGAGATAAAAATTACTGTATTTTTCGTTCGTTGCAGAGACTATGATTAACGATTATAGATTCCCTGTCATTTTCATCTATACCGGATTATGCCATTATATATTACCAAGACGATCTTAAATCGAAAGGCATGATTATTTTATCACGATGACCGTGCATTTTACACTATCAACATAAATTATAAAACCGCGGGGTTTTATTTTTTTTTGTTGATTATTTAAAACAATCAATTATTGATACCCATATACTAGGTATAGTTAATATAATTTAATAATTTATTTTTTTTTTAAAAAAAAAGTGATGGGAGCGGATCTATCCTCATGATTCAACCCCGTAAATACGTCACTGGATTTTACCATATTATGTACATCTGAAAATGTGTTCCATAATTGATGGTCCATAAACAAATATTCGCGGTTCGATCATTGTAATTCGTCCCCTTAATATCGATTATTATCAACGTGTTAAAATGTGTTTACGGTTCGTGGAATATTACGTAACGGGTAAAACTTTAAAAAATATTGTAAATCGGATCATCGGGTATACGTATATTGTTTCTAAGTATGAAAAACCTAAAATATTCACTCGAAAGTATCTTCGCGTGTATGGATGATCAAAGAATCTCGGGCTGCAGCATCGACATGATGTGTGTGTGTGTGTGTGTGTGTGTACGACCTCCTGTTTAAAATAGTTATAAATGCACGAAAAATAAAAAAAAAAAATAAAAAAAAAAACTTAAGTGGAGTAGAGTTTGAGGTTTTTTACTTTTTTTTTTTTTTGTATATCATATATTCGTCATTTGGGTAATATTAATGGAAATCGAGTTCCTGCAAAAGTATTCGGAATAATAATGGATGATAGCACCACTTTCCTAACCGCTATCCATCGCCGCCGCGGTATACGTTTCAATGCATATATTATATCGTGATT